TTTATTTTTTTTTTTTTTTTTTTTAAACTGTTTTATGCAAAACTAGTCGTTACCCAACGACTCTTTTGCAGAAATGACCGTTGGGCAACAGTTGGCCTCCCAAACCCCCCGAATTCACCCCTACCCCGTCTTAATATATTTTTAACACTTAAGTCTATAAAATTACACTTTTACCCTATTCTAAACTAAAAGTATCTCTTCTCTTCTTTATTTTTTCACACAAAATCTTTGTACTTTATTTGGTTGTTATTCATTATTTGAAAATTGAGACTGAAGTTGGCAACTAGCTTCGGGATTGAGCAAGTTTCAACTATCAACCTCATTTATATGTGGTATTTACATCGGTGTTTGGTACACTCTTCATCTCTATCTCTTGTTTTTTATTATTTTATTTTACTTGTCAGAATTAATTTATTTATATTGGAATTATAAATTATCAGTTGCATAAATTACAATGCCTAGAATTTTTCGTGGATTTAGAGGTAACCATCGTAATGGAAGGGTTGGCTAATGTAGTAATCTTGTACATGATTCCTCTCACGTAGATGAAATACCTTATTACAATATTAATTCGAATGAGCAATCACTAGATCGTGAATTACTTTTCAACTAGTCCAAATCTAATAACAACTTCAACTCAGAGTCAATCTCAGTTTGGAGATCAAATACTTTCCACTAAGAGTTGAACCTTAGTAGAACGGAAATCAACATCACTTGTATGAAATGTCTTTACTAATATAAGCCAAATCAAATAGCTATTCGCACTTATTATAAAGAAGTGTATTCGTTTAAAACTGAAAAAAGTTAAGGCGGGACATAATGTTTAATAAGACACTTGGTGAAAGATCTCACAAGCAAATATGGTTGGCATACAAGGCTTCCCAGGAGGGGGAAAGGGGCTATTCCTACTTAGTGGGCGTTTGGACATAAGAATGGTAAAATTTCAAAATAGTGGGAAAATTTTTTTCAACTGAAAATGATATTTGAAATTTAGAGTGATTTGAGTGATAAATTTGAAAAACAGTTTTTTGGAGTTTTTCAAATTTTCGAAAATTTTCAAAATGCATTATCAAATGAAAATTGAAAATTTTATGAAAAAACGTTGATTTCGAAAAAAAGTGATTTTTTTTTTTTGAAAAAACGAAAAAATTTCTATACAGGGTTCTCATAGTATACAATCAAGAATTAACCCTTTGACCGGAGGACTTTGGTATATGACGAAAAGAAAGATAGTAAAATTTAGCAAAATTAGTAGCTGTTGAAGGATTACCTTTTAGTTTTTCTTCTTCGCCGGATTTTGTTCATTACATGCAAGATCAATACAATCCAACTTGTAAGGGTATTCCATAATCAAATGTTAGAAGTGATGTTTTTAGATTGCTAATGAATATAAATAATATTTACGTTATTTGTTTTATTATTTGGATTTTAAAATTTCTATCACTTCTGTCGTAGGGCGTAGTGCTAATTATCACAATTACTTAATACTTACTTGTCATTGGACAGATAGAAATTGGATAATATAAAAATGTATTTTAATGTATAGATATATTGACGAAAGGCTGTGACGACCCGACATGCCGTTTTGAGTACTAGCCTTTATTTATGTGTTCCGAGACCTCTATCAGCTTCATTTGATATTTCTTGATTTGCGTGCGTGATCCGTGTCTTTTTTCGGAAAGTTTTTACGTAAAAATTTGAAGAAAAAGAGATTTTTGACTTAAAATGATATTTGAGTTGACTACGGTCAATATTCTTGGTTAACGAATTCGGATCGGTGTTTTAATAATTCCGGTAGGTTCGTAATATAATTTTAGACTTGGGCGTATGTCACGACCCCACTTTTCTTCCGAAGGATGTCGTGATGGCAATTAGTCTCTACGACTAGGTAAGCTTAACAAATAACAACAACTGAATAGATATATAATAACAAGTTACTAAAAACGACTGAATAATGGATAAAACCTCCTGAAAATAGAATCTCACAAATACACACCCCAAAAACCTGTGGAACTGAGTCGTAAGCTCTATAGAATGCAAAGAGAGTACTACTACATCACTGTCCGAAAGAAAATACAACAGTAAAGAAAATAAGGGAAGGTGACTCCGTGGCCTGCGGATGCCGAGCAAGCATACCTTGAAGTCTCCGATAAAAGCAGCTAGCAGGGAAATCTCTATCGACCGTTATGAGCGGACGTACCTGGATCTGCATAAAAAGATGTGCAGAAGCATAGTATGAGTACACCACAACGGTACACAGTAAGTATCAAGCATAACCTCAGTAGAGTAGTGACGAGACCAGGTCAAGACACTTATTAGGATATGAAATAGACATTATAAAAATGTAATACGTATAAGTAATGAAAAGTGAAGAATAGCTGATACGGAACAAGATAATAGCAAGAACTAGTACCAGAAGTGAACAATAAAAATAGCATAAAAGAAGCAACTAAAGTGCTACAATGATCATGTACGGACTATAACGGCTAGAATAATAAAGAATGAAGCAACAAGAAATATTCCTTCCACAACACTTTACAACATGAAACAAACAGCAAGAAACACAACGAGGTACCGCCTTGTGTATAATAAAATCAAACCGAGGTACTGCCTCGCATTCACATTTCTCAATTTCAATCACAATCTTTTCTTATACCGCCACGTAAGCCTTACATTTAAAAATAGGTTTTGAAAAATAGTTTTTTCTGAAATAGCTACACGCACTTTAGCCCACCTTATGACGCTGTATGGCTTCACGTAGTTCCCCTACAAGCAATCACGCACATAAGTCCCACCTTATACCGCCGCATGCGCATCAATATCATATCACAATAACAACTCGCCACAAGTGCCCACATATCACAACTTGCCAACAACAACAATATCAATACTTTCACAACAATAGCCCATGGCTCCACCACAACGTATACAAGAATATCAACAATAATAATGTATAGAAAATGCTCAATAAGATAGATGTTTCAACAATAACCAAGATCGCCTCAACGTATTAAAGACTTTCACAACTTCAACACCAAATAACTCAACAATGAGAAAATAATGTATAACCATGTTATTAGATAAGACTAATTCACAATAAAGGAAATAATATTCATATGATGACCCAAAGTGTCATCTTTAAATTTAATAAGTAATTCTGTATTCTAATACCTCGAAAAGCACTATTTATCACCCTCGACTTGCGTGCGCAGTCCATATATTTTTTCGGAAAGTTTTTGTGTGAAAAATAGATTAAAATGTGAAATAGAGCTTTAAAACTCAACTGAGTTGACTTTGGTCAACATTTTGAGCAAACAAACTCGGATTAGTATTTTGATAATTTTGTATGTCCATATCGTGATTTGGGATTTGGGCGTATGCTCGGAATCGAATTCCGAGGTCCCTAGCTCGAGATATGGAATTTTGATGAAATATTAAAAGTTTGAAAGGTTAATGATTTTTAAGAAGTTACTGTTGTTGGATTTATTGACACCGGGCCCGTATTTTGGTTCCAGAGCTCGGCATAGGTCCACTATAATATTTATGACTTGTCTGCCAAATTTGGCGAGAAACGGAGTTGATTCGACGTGATTCGGACGTCCGGTTGTAAAAATATAAGTTTTAAAGTTTTCTTGAAATTTCATTCGATTTGGGATTCAATTCGTAGTTCTAGGTGTTATTTTGGCGATTTGAATATGCGAGCAAGTTCGTATGATATTTTAGGACTTGTATACATATTTGGTTTGGAGCCCCGAGGGCTCGGGTGAGTTTCAGATAGGATACAGGATGATTTTGAACTTAGAAAATCGGGTTTTTGAGTTTGAGCTATCATCTGGTTTCCTTCTATGCGATCGCGTGGCTACATCCGCAATCGCGAAGGCTTGTTGAACACTGATGAAAATTTGTACTATGCGATCACATAGTATTGTACGCGATCGCATAGTTGGAGAAGCTAAGGCATCATGAACGCGTGAGCAAAGCCACGTTCGCGTA